GGTTTTCCACACTCTTAGTAAAAGCTTTCCCAGAATTCCAAGATTGGGGATGATTATTGTAGCCTTTTCAGTAAAAGAGATTTTATTTTCAGATATTATTCCTTATTTTAAGACTATCATAGTTTTTAAAAGTGACTGAACTCAGCCTAGACAGCAGATTTCAATAGTTGCTAAGGAACTAGATTAGTGCTAATCTAAGGAATATATTATTCATTTTTATTTCCATTTGTTACTACGGCACTTTAATTGCCAATGAATGTCTTTTATGGCTCTCCAAGGTGTAAAGCATCTCTCCCTTAGCTAGCCACAGGAGACAGTGTTTATATGCACCCTCCAAGCAGGCAGCATTCAGGCACGAAGTAGCTCAAAAGAAGAAAAAGGCTTCTTGCGGCACAAACAATAGCTGGGCTTATAATACAGGCCATAGCTGAGCGCTCAAGGACAGACCAGCCACACCCACCCATGCACGAGACCCGGCCAGGCTGCCTCCGCTGATGCTGCACACTGCGCTGATTACCTCTTCGTGTAGTAGATGACGTTATTCTGCAACCGGCTGCCACAGTCATCAGACAATCAATTCCTCAGATAAAAGATCGGTTGTCAAATCCAAGAAACTCATTTTCCACACAGCAGCCAAAATGAGGTTTTTGAAAAGCTAATCTGATAGCATCTACCCAACCTTACCCAACCTCTCCCAACCCCACTCCGCTTAAAACACTTCAGTGCTTCCCAGGGCCTTTAAGATAAGGACAAAGCCCTTGCAGAGCATGGAAGGCCCTCCCTGGGCTGCACCTCCCAGCACACTGCACTTCCTGATCAGTCTTCCCTTTCCTTTTTAAATGAAGCCTTGCCCTGGCTCTTCCACTGCCCAAAAGCTCTTCTGTCCTCTCAGGCAACGCCCATACTCACTTTCAGCCTCAGCCCTGTTCTCCCACTAGCTAGGAGTACCTTGGTAGGTTCACATCAAATCAATACAACTCTTCCTGGCATTTATCAGATTTGTAAGTTTACATTTATTTGTGTGTGTTTGATTAAGGTCTAGTTCTCCAATAGACCCGGAGCCAAAGAAGGTAGACTTCATTTTTACAAAGACTGTAATTCCCCTACCTAGGACAGCCCCTAGCACATAGTGCTACAAGAATGCGTATTGAAAGCATAAACTCTGAAACGTAAAATCCAAACAAGCACTCTAGACTTTGGCTATTTGTGGACAGTCTGGCCAAGACTCATTATGTAATGAGCAATATCTTTGCCAAAGCACTGACTGAAAGCTCTAGTGAGGGACCAGCAGCTGCTTCTCCATGAGTCAGCTGCCAGCTCTTACAGAGTAACTTACAAAGTTAAGCAGTTTTTTCATTATGAAGAATAATACACCTGCCTTACAAAAAGAAAACCCACAACTGCTGGTGCTGGTGCTAAACAAGAAAAGCAGGTGAAGTCATCTAATGCTCTCCTCCTTCACGGGGGACACACACTGCAGGAGTAGTCAGGAATTGGAAGGTTTATAATAGCTGACATCCATGGAACTCTGACTATGGGTGAGGCTCACGCTGGTGCTCATGTACTTTTCTCATTTAATCCTCTCACCAAGTCTATGTTTATCCTTCTTTTATAGATAAGGAAACAGAGAGTTTAAGTAATTTTCCCAGGGTTACACAGATAGTAATGCAGAGAGTGGATCTGAAGCCACATTATCTAACTCATTCTGGAGCCTGTACTCTTCATCATTACTGTTGCTGCCTCTCCTGGAGAGTTCCAGAACACAGCAGAAGTCAAGGAAGGTCCATACACATAGACTGAATAGTACCTCTGCATGGAGGAGCAGTGTCCCTCTTAATCTAATACTTTGAGGTTGAACTGGGACTTTACTCAAAAAAATAGCTCAGCAGCCTACCTCTCATTTCCTACTTTTCCATTATATTTTCCATTTTCACACATTTCTTAAATACAGAGTGATAACCTCACTCCCGGGCTCATGAATGATCCATGGATTTGCTTTACTTAGAGGAATACAGCAAACCACTCACTCCAGCACACACAGACCCATGGTCTGGCAAAGGCTCTGTCCCCCTTTGCATCACATTCCTCACATGGGACCCCTGAGCAGTCTTCCAACAAGCCCAGGGCTCACCAGCTTCCCTTCCTTGATGTGGTTCTCCTGACTTGAAATCCTGTTCATCCACAGAAGCCAGGTCAGCTTCAGGAACAAATCATGTATAGAGTGGCATCGAATACTTCTATTGCAGGTTGAGCATCTCTCATCCCAAAATCTGAAATCTGAAGTGCTCCAAAGCCCAAAACTTTTGAGCACCAACATGACACCACAAGTGGAAAAGTCTACACCTGACCTCAGGTGGCAAGTCACGGACAAAACACAGACACACAACACACAATTTGTTCAGCATCCCCTAGGGTAAGATAAACTTACCTCAGGCTATGTGGGTAACGTATATATGAAACATAAATCAATTTTGTGTTTTCAGTATCTTACATTATATTTATGCAAATACTTCAAAGAAATCTGGCCAGGCGTGGTGGCTCATGCCTATAATCCCAACACTTTGGAAGGCTAAGGCAGGCAGATCACCTGAGTTCAGGAGTTTGAAACCAGCAAGGTCAACATGGTGAAACCCCATCTGTACTAAAAATACAAAAATCAGATGAGCGTGGTGACGCATGCCTGTAATCCCAGCAACTCAGGAAGCTGAAGCAGAAGAATCACTTGAACCCAGGAGGCAGAGGTTGCAGTGAGGCAGGGTAACACCATTATACTCCAGCCTGGGTGACAGAGCAAGACTCCATCTCAAAAAAAAAAAAAAAAAATCTGAAATCCAAAATACTTCTGGTCTCAAACATTCTGGGTAAGGAATACTCAACGAATATTTTTAAATAATTCCAAATATTATTAAGTTACATAATAAGTAAGGCTGGAGGAAAGATTAATTGAAAAGGTAAAAAAGCCTTTAATAAATGTGATTACTAAGGTTTTCAGTTGTAGATTCAGATTCCAATTAGGAGAGAATATTTAATATCACCTCTAGTGGTTTGTTTTTCTCAACAACTCTAAATCTACCAGAAGGGCTTTGCAGCAGTTTTCTCAAAGTGTAACAAATTCTACTTTGTATATCATCTCTTCATGTTTAATTATAAGGATTTGAATTTACAACAGCAATTAATCAGTAATTAGATAGTACTGTACCAAAAGAAATTAAACAAAGATAAAACAAAAACACAACTTAGCACAAGGCCATATTATCTGGTAATGTTACATGTAGCATGATTAAAATATTCCCTGAGAAATACAGGTTAACTGAGTCATTAGTGATATATTCCTTTGACTTTTTTGTTGTTATTAGTGATTTCCAGTGCCAGCAGGAAACTTAAAGGTAATCCAAATCCAAAAACACTCTAATTATACTAATTATTCCATTTTTATTATTCATTATAAATCTCTTTATTATGCTCGATAATTATTTTGAAATGTAGTGGTAGATTTTTACAATGCAAAATAAATGTATATTTTATAATGATGGCATTCTGTATTGATTGTCATATTTAAAGAAAACACATAAATCAGTATTTGAGTTAATTATCAATTAGACCTCAAAAACAAAATGTTCACCTTAGGTGTGGAAAATCAAAAAAGATACAAAGCAGATTGAGAGAGGGGCGAAGAGTTCCCTGAAACCAAGACATAGAAGAGATAAAAAGGCTATTTAGCAAGTCATTGTAGGAACCAGGGGAAGAGGCAAGGGGACCCTCTCCTTACCAAGTCATGTGATTCCCCTGTACCAGGTGCACAAGCCTCCTATCCTTGTTCTTAAGCCTTTGGTTAGTAAGGGAATAAAAGCAGACTGGCCATTGGGAAGAGAAGTCAGCAGCCCTCCTAATTCAGTCTTGGAAGAGATGTGGGCAGCAGCCAGCTGAGGTGTGCCCCACTCCGGGTGATGCTGGAGCTGGGCTCTGGGAAGGGGAGACAGTTGGAGAAGCCCCAACGTGGATTAGTGGATATATAGCAGGCTTTTCTCCTTGCAAAAAGGTATTTTTTATCCCTTTATTTATTCTGTGACCAGCATGACATGGGAAGACTGAGCCAACAAAACACTCAGAATTACCTGAAGGTGCTTTGCATTCTTTCCCGGGTGCCATTTCAAGAGGCTTTGTCTGTGTAAGAAAATAGCATTACCTTTACTCCTAAGTACAGGGATCTTGTAAACTGTAAATACTGTATAATCTTTAAATGGTATGCCAAATGAATAAATGGTTTTTCCCCCTAAGTGTATGAAGTTGTCTTGAAAACTTCTGTATGGAGTGAATTTCATTGTGCACTCATAAGCTTGCTTTACAGAAGTATTTTAATTGTCAGTTTCTGAAACAAGTAATTTGTCTTTTGATAGAACAGTTTGCTAAAAAAGAGCAAAAGGTACTTTGAGAAGAATTATTGAAGAAAATTTCAAAGATTTCCATCTCTTGGTACCTTGGATTGGAAGAATAAGCTTTGTTTAATAATTTAGTGTCATGGTGGACATCAGAGAGCCAAACTGTAATAATTTTTGTAACTTCATGATGAAATTAATGGAGCAGTTCTCCCAAAATTGGGAACCATTTGGTTTTTTCTCCAGTTGAAGAATTTCTCTTTCTCCTGTTTTGTGAGGCAGTGCTATGAAGTTTTTATGTCTAAGAGTTCATTGCTTTTCCAAATTAGACAGCACACCTGTAAATGAAAACCACATTTGCAAAGTGACAATTCATTTGTGGATATGGCTTATTAATCCTCTGTTGGGCTTCTTCAACTGTTCTCTAATTTGAAAATGTTCATCTCTCAGGAGGTGGTACAATTTATTTGATTTCATTGTACGACACAAACTTTTGCCTCTCAATTTTACCACTTTTGTTGAAATAAGCTTAAACAAGCTGACTGCAGTCACCATGATCACCATCTTATGAACCTTTATTCAGAGTTCACTGGGCAAGACTAATAAACCAGAGCAACCTCTTCACTTTAACAACATGGTCATTATTCCCATGACCTACTCTTTCTATAGTAAGTAGTTTAAAAAATTGTTTTAAAGCTTGGGACTTCAAACACCCCTAGTTGTATTTCTCCTCCAGCTTCTCCCATCTCAGTAAATGGCTCTAGTCAGTGCTCCAGCCAACACCTGAGAGCTTTCCTTGCTCCCTTTTGCTCATGTCCCAATTCCAAGTGCATCAGCCAGTCCTGCTGGATCTCCTGACACTGTCCCCACCCTAGACCAACCCTCGGTTTCCTCACCTGGACTCCTAGCAGTCATCTCCTAAGTGGCCTCCCTGCTTCTGTCCACCTTTCTGAAAATCCATTCTCCATATCGCAGCTCAGGTAATTCTATTACAAATATTCATCATATTACTTCACTAGGCCTGCTTAATGCCTTCCAGCAACTTCCCGTTTCACATAGAATCAAATCAAAACACTTTCCATGGTCACCCCATCTGACCAGCTCTGCACCGCTCTCCCCTTCTCACACTCTAAGGTCAGCCTTTAAACATTACCACACATTCCTGCTGCCATGCCTTTCCACAAGCCGCTGCCTTTGCTTGGGGTGCACTTCCCCGCCCTTCAAGACAGACTCCCCCCAACCTTCACAGTTCACCTCAGATGTCACCGCCTCAGAGAAACATCTCCTGACCACCTAAGATGCAGCCCCCACAGGAAGGATTGTCACGTTAGCCTGTTGATGCGCTTCATTGCACTTTTCTCTATCAGAAATGATTGTGTTCCTTCTAGCTTGTTTGTTTACTGATAAGTGTGTTGCTTCCCACCATCCTCCATGCTCCATGAAAGCAAGAACCTTGCTGGTCTCTTGTTCCCCTCATATCACTCATGGTTGGGACAGGGTCTAGCCCACAGCACACTCTCAATAAACAGTTGTTAGTTAGATGAAGTATGGATGATGGAATCCTTATCTTCCTAATACTGTATGACTTTGACTGAAACACTTAACTTCATGGACTTCAGCTTCCTCCTCTATAAAATAAAGCTAGCAGAACATCAGTTGTTCCTGGGAATAAGTTAATGGAGTAAATGCGCGGCAGGGCATGGCACCTTGTGTGACCCATAGCAGATGCAGAGTGAGCAGTCACCAATGTCCCTTCCTGTTTTATAGGAAATCTTCAGAGGAACTAGACATGGACAAGGTGACAGCAGCAATGGTACTAACCAGTTTGTCAACCAGTCCTTTGGTTCGAAGTCCTCCCGTGCGGCCGAATGGTAAGCCCAGGAATATGGGGCTTAGGGAAGGGCCCCTTACACCAAGAGCAGGGCCTCTTTTTGAGGGGTCTCATTCCTGTCAAACGCCATGAACCACTGACCCTCACCCATTAGCAGGAAGCAAAGGGAAACATGGAAGATGTCGAGACCCCCAGAGCTGTCAGCCTCCTCTTCATCTTCCCAGAGAGCCCACTGCTTTTCGTTCACCCATCCCTCCATTCAACTCGCCTTTTTTGAGCTCCTTCAGTTTCTGCCATGCCAGGACACATGTTTGCAGTACTTGTGTCCCTCTTTTTCCCAGGTAAATGCAGATTGAGCTAATGAATTGTTTTCCCTAGCATTATTTCTGTTTGATTGGGGAGGTAGTTGGATCAAAGAACTCTCAGCTTAAATATGCTTTTAAAACATTGTCCCTGACTCCTTAATCAAATAGAATTATTTAGTCCATTCATTTATTCCACACACATTTATCAGGTACCATGCTAGATGAGTTGAATACCTCATTGAAAAATTGTCCACATTCCCAGGTAGTATATTGTCTCTTTGAGGAAAAAAGACTACCAATTATAGCTGTATTAATGGCTAGCATTTATTGAACATTACTGTTTGTCAATAAACAAGTATTATGTTTGCTTTATCTCCTGTAATTCCCACAACAATTCTATGAGATGTTATTATCACTATTTTACAGATGAGTAAACTGAGGTTCACAGGGATTAACTGGCAGAACTGAAATTCTCCATATCTTTTTGATTCCAGATTTATTCTCTTAATCACAATACGATTTTGTCTCATATAATCCAATACAATAAATAAGGAGGTCAGGTAGCAGGAGGTGAAGTTAGAGTGACTGGCAGATCTATCAGGAAGGGTCATTTATGGCTGGCTAGGAGTTTGGACTTTATGCTGAGGCTATGGGAGCGCTGTTAAAGTGATTCTAGCCCTGGAAAGTTATGATTAGGTTTACCAGCCAAAAGAAAAACAAAAGGCCTTGGTGGTCACAGTGGAGGCGAATAGGCCATAATCGATAAATGTGAAGAATGCAGAATCAAGAGTCTTTGGTGTTGGACAGAGAGGGTGAACAGGAGGGTGTGTCAAGGATGACTTCCAGGCAGCTGGTGTGCTTCAGCAAGGGGAAGACATTCACTGGGTTGGGGACATACATGCAGGAAGAGATCTATTAGCAAATGTTTGGGACAAGAGCTGAGGTCACTGAAGAAGACAGTAGGGTCAGTTTGAAACATGTTTAATAGGCAGTGCCTGAGGATCATTCAAGGGGCAACATCTGGTGGAGATTTGGGCACATCCTGGGAGAGAGATCTGGGCTGAAGGTACAGAATTAGAAGGCAACATTTTGAATCCATGAGAGTAGATGAGATCACCGTGAGAGAGTTATGTGGAAGCAGAGTGAAAAGAGAAGATGGCCAAGGAAGGAAGCAGTGAAGCTCGCCATCATGCAAGGAATTGGTAGTGGGAAAAGAGCCTAGGAAGAGCCTGACAGGCGACCAGAGCGGTAGAGGATAACCAGGAGAGTGTGGTTTCACAGAAACCAAGGGAAAAACATGTTTTAAGGAGAAGTGTCTGATGCTTCAGAAGGTCATTCATTAAAAGGACTGAATTTTGTATCACTGGTGGCTTTGTCAGGAGCACTCCCTAAAGAAGAAAGCTGGATTGCAGATTGCAGTTCACTGAGATGTAATGCACTGAGACCACTGAATGAGACTTACCACCAATGAAAACCTTCTCTCAAAAACCAGCATGGTCAATTATGAGATTGAGATATGGTTCACACACAGTTTGGTTTTAAGCATGAGGTGTTAAAATAAATTTGTTGAACATACATTTAGTCCTCACCAAAAACTTTCTCCAACCCCATTATAAAGGAAAAGAATGATCATCCTGCTAGGAATTCACATCAGTGTCATGAATTAGTATTGCCCAGCAACATCATGATTCACCAAGCTGGGATAACACCTCTTCTTTTCTTTTCTTTTCTTTTTTTTTTTTTTTTGAGATGAAGTCTCACTCTGTCATCCAGGCCGGTGTGCAGTCGTGCTATCTTGGCTCATTGCAACCTCTGCCTCCTGAGTTCAAGTGATTTTCATGCCTCAGTCTCCTGAGTAGCTGTAATTACAGGCATGTGCCACCACACCCAGCTAATTTTTGTATTTTTAGTAGAGACAGGTTTCACCATGTTGGCCAGGCTGGTCTCCAACTCCTGACCTCAGGTGATCCACCCACCTTGGCCCCCCAAAGTGCTGGGATTACAGGCGGGAGCCACCGTGCCCAGCCAACTGACACCTCCTGTTTACATAGCACCAGATGAGGTGCTCTTGAAATGGGTTTGACCTATTCAGTGACCTGACTGCTCTTCTCGGGGTCTCTGGCAGACAGGTATTCTGATTTACCTTTCTCACTTTGACAGTGCTAAAGCAAGATTATAGTAAAAGCAAAACTATAGCCAGGCGTGGTAGCACATGGAAGTAGTCCTGGCCCAGGACTTTGGGGTTGCACTGAGCTATGATGGTGCCACTGTACTTCAGTCTGGGTGACAGAGCAAAACTCCAATTCCAAAAAATAAAAAAAACCTGAAAAACCCCCAAGACATATTCTAGGAAAAAGAAATTGCAGAATTCCATGAAGTCTTTAGAGGGGAAAAAAATGTGTATTTAAAAATAATCATTATTTTTACCACTGGGTTTTTTTGGTTTTTTTTTTCACTGCCACCTGGGCTTGAGTGCAATGGCTCGATCTTGGCCTATTGCAACCTCCACCTCCCAGGTTCAAGTGATTCTCCTGCCTCAGCTTCCCAAGTAGCTGAGATTGCTGGTGTCCACCACCATGCCCAGCTAATTTTTTGTATTTTTAGAAGAGACGGGGTTTCACCATGTTGGCCAGGCAGGTCTTGAACTCCTGACGTTGTGATCTGCCTGCCTCAGCCTCCCAAAGTGCTGTGATTATAGGCATGAACCACTACACCTGGCTGTCTTCTTTTTTAAGTTGAGAACATTTTTAGTGTTCCTTTGTACTTAAAGGTCAGAATTAAAATAAACCTTTTGGTTCTTCAGTCCAAATTTTTGTTAGCATAGTAATAAAGTAATTCAGTGTTGATTTATGGTTTAAAACATAACTACTCCACTAATAGCCCCAAATTGTCTGCTGTCTCTCATTTAGTCTGTAAGAAAAAGCAAATTCTTAAATAGGGAAAGCAATTTATGATAACAAAGGCATTTTTTTAAGGAAAAAAATATTTTCACTAGAATTATTGCACATCAATGAATTTTTGGAAACTGTTATCATTTTCTGTGCCTAAAAAGGATCATTCTGTCAGGAAGTGGGTCTGCAAAGAGTGTGAGGGTCCAGCAGTGCCTGTCTGCATTCTTGACAAACAGTGGCTTAATATAAAGAGGCTCTATCCCCTAAGAAGATTATAAATCAGACCTGACTTTTTTCTGGAAAAAAAAAAAAAATCATTTCTATATCACTTGGTCCTTCTGACTAAATAGTGTTTCTAAAGGAAATGTCATTCACAAATCATTAAGCAAATTCACTTCTGGCATTGACATGAAGCCATGTAACCACACTGTAATAATCGTTGTTTCTCAAAATAAATTCAGTGCCTCATACTTAATGTGATTACACATCAAGCACCACAAGCTTTATTTTATTTTACAAATGCATACTACAGTATATTTATCAGCCACCCAAGCCTGCCAAGGGCGTTTTTCACACCAAGTAAAATCATCAAGCCTTATATTATGCTCTTCTTGAACTCCTGTTGTACCAAATGGAGCTTTCTTATTTACAGCAGGCAACTCTGGTCTGGTGAATGCATCAGTCTCTGTGTAGACTGCAGGGAGTGAGAGGCTAATTTGGTTTTGTTGATGCTGGCAAAGCATGAGACTGCATAAATGGCCATTTGATTCTAAAAGAACCTGGCTGTAATGAGATAGGTAGTTTCTCCTATTTCACCTTAAAATTTCACTCCTCTAACTTAACTTTTTGCTTGACATAATTGAGGAATATGCTTGAAATTTATAATTAGGTAAAGATAGGAAATGTCCCCATGAATTTGAATCTCCCCTTTGTCACTACTTCATTACTAATTACACAGATGTTAACAGTATTTTTTTTAATGAGGCATTTGGGGATGTTTTTTCCTCCTTGTGGTTATAACATGGTTTTAATATATTCAAAATGCACCTAAATATGGAGGAGAAATTATCCAAAAAGAAAATAGAATTTATACAAATGCTAATTAAGGTTGTGCATCTTGAAAGGTAAAGCAAATCTTCAGTGATTAAAAGAGCATCCAGAAGACATTCTCTTTTTTTTTTTAAGACAGAGTCTCACTCTGTTGCCCAGGCTGGAGCACAGTGGCACAATCTCAGCTCACTGCAACCTCTGCCTCCCAGGTTCAAGCGATCCTCCTGCATCAGCCCTCATAGTAGCTGAAATTACAGGCACGCACCACCATACCCAGCTAATTTTTGTATTTTTAGTAGAAACAGGGTTTCGTCGTGTTGGCCAGGCTAGCAGAAGACATTCTAACTGGGCAGAAATCTCTCCAGATTAGCAAACATTTCATAATGCTTTGCACCACAAATGGAAAGGTAAAATCCAGTAGCAATCTTATCAGTAATTATTGCCAATAAATTCTTATCCTATCCCAGCTTTGCCAGAGAGAATGGAGGTTGTTCACAGCCCAGGGACTGCATTCAGTGAGGGAAGAGGTCCAACCAGCAGGCCAGCTTCAGCCTGGCTCACCAGGAATACTTGCCAGTCATGTAGCAAGTCACTTTGCTTCCTGCTGCCTCAGGGTCCTCATCTACAAAACTGGGATGATAATCCTTATTCTGAAGTACAGATGTTGTCAGAATGCTTGCAACTGTGTGAATAAGCTTTGTAAAATGTAAAACACTCACAAAATGTAAAGCATTACTAATTTGTTGTAATAGGCAGAATGGGAAGGGGCGGCTTTAGATAACTCTCCAGGAATTATTTCTCTTAGATTCTTAAATGTTAGACTAACTTCCTATAAATGTATTCTATGAACCACATTCCTATGAGAACTCCCCACCCCCCAACTTTTTTTTGAAAAAGGATCTTGCTCTTTTCACCCAGGCTGGAGTGCAGTCACCCAGTCATAGTTCACTGCAGCCTCAAACTCCTGGGCTCAAGTGATCCTCCCTCCTCAGCTGGGTAGAGTAGCTGGGACTACAGGTGCATGCCACCACACTCAGCTAATCTTTTTATTTTTTCTGTACAAGCAGGCTCTCATTATGTAACCCAGGCTGGTCTCGAACTCCTGGCCTTAAGCAATCCTCCCACCTCAGCCTTCCAAAATGCTAGGATAAGAGAAGTGAGCCACTGCCCTCAACTAAGAAATCCCTTAAAAAAAAAAAAAAAAAGTTGAAATCGAAGGGGTTGGGGTGGGAGGGAACTCTGTTACCAAACCATTCAGGAGAATACTGCAAATGATACTCCTCTCTTAGAAATACTGCAGTCGGCTGGGCACTGTGGCTCACGCCTGTAATCCCAGCACTTTGGGAGGCCGAGGCGGGTGGATGACGAGGTCAAGAGATTGAGACCATCCTGGTCAACATGGTGAAACCCCGTCTCTACTAAAAATACAAAAATTAGCCGGGCATGGTGGCCCATGCCTGTAATCCCAGCTACTCAGGAGGCTGAGGCAGGAGAATTGCTTGAACCCAGGAGGCGGAGGTTGCAGTGAGCGGAGATCGTGCCATTGCACTCCAGCCTGGGCAACAAGAGCAAAACTCTGTCTCAAAAAAAAAAAAAAAGAAAAAGAAAGAGGTACTGCAGTCAATAAACCCAGAGCACCCCAAACTTAGTGAACAAGAATATCTTTTTTTTTCCATATAATCCCCACTATGATCCAATCCCCACTAGGATCCCAAGGAATTTGTGTTGCTCGATACAAAAACACATCAGAAACCTTAGAAAAACCTGTTATCGTGCGGTTAAAATAATTAAATGTTTATAACTACAATGTGGCTTTTGGGAGGGGAGTGTATAAATAGAACAAAAACTGACATACCCAGCTGTTGCAGATTATTGAGAGGGCTAGGGTGGTTTCACTGGAGTAGAACCAAGGCTCCCACTTCCCCACCGAGCCCTGCCCGGGCACGCAGGGGTCCTCGCACTGACTGTGTTTGTGTGCACGCAGAGAGCCTCAGCGGATCCTGGAAGGAGGGCGGCTGCGTGCCTTCCAGCACCAGCAGCAGCGGCTACTGGAGCTGGAGCGCCCCCAGCGACCAGTCCAACCCTTCCACGCCGTCGCCGCCGCTCTCGGCCGACAGCTTCAAGCCCTTCCGCAGCCCCGCGCAGCCAGACGACGGCATCGACGAGGCGGAGGCCAGCAACCTGCTCTTCGACGAGCCCATTCCCAGGAAAAGAAAGGTTGGTGATCAGCCACGTGGTCTCTGCCTTCGGTTTCCTGAAGGTGCTTTCCGTCCCCTTTGAAGGGCTGGCGTGAGCTTAACTTTGGACCCACACCCTCTTTTCTGTGGAAAGCAGCAGCTTACATTCCTCTTTAACGTTCTTGAAGTTTAAATAGAAATTATTATGGTGACAATTAAAAAATGACAACTACTGGTAAGTTTCCTGAAAGTATATACGCACGTGCCCTATGCTCTAGTTATAAATTGCTGACCTGAGACTTAGCAGTATTTCTAAGTTAGAAAATTGGACCTCAGGCTTGCTTCGGTATGAACTCGTTCTCTTCTTGGGACTTATTTTTTTCATATGTAAAATACAATTAATATATTTTTCTCTTTTCTGCTTCAGTCAGCCCTGAAGGGTTATTGTAAAGAATATTTCGTGCCGGGCGCGGTGGCTCAAGCCTGTAATCCCAGCACTTTGGGAGGCCGAGGCGGGTGGATCACGAGGTCAAGAGATCGAGACCATCCTGGTCAACATGGTGAAACCCCGTCTCTACTAAAAATACAAAAAATTAGCTGGGCATGGTGGCACGTGCCTGTAATCCCAGCTACTCAGGAGGCTGAGGCAGGAGAATTGCCTGAACCCAGGAGACGGAGGTTGCGGTGAGCCGAGATCGCGCCATTGCACTCCAGCCTGGGTAACAAGAGTGAAACTCCGTCTCAAAAAAAAAAAAAGAGTATTTCGTATCTCATTTTTATGCAGTCATCTGTGAAATATCCATAAAGGCTGAAATATAAACAAACTTCCATTCTTACATCCTAAAAATTATATATTAACTAAATAAAAAGTGAAAAAGGGCCAGGCACGGTGGCTTATACCTGTAATCCCACTGCTTCGGGAGACTGAGGCAGAAAGATTGCTTGAGACCAGGAGCTGGAGACCAGCCAATGCAACAGAACAAGACCCTGTCTCTACAAAAAAAATTTAAATTTTAAAAAAATTAGCTCAATGTAGTGACATGCACCTGTAGTCTCATCTACTCAGGAGGCCAAGGTGGGAGGATCACTTGAGTCCAAGAGTTCAAGGCTGCAGTGAGCTGTGATCTGGCCACTGCACTCCAGTCTGGGCAACAGAGTGAGACCTTGTTGCTTTAAAAAAAAAAAAAAAAGAAGAAGAAAAAAATCTAATTAATTGATTTAACAAATTAATTAGACATTTTATTAATCCAGCAGCTCTGAGTGGTTTTTCACTTCCACTTTGATATGAGGAAACTGAGGATCAGGGCGATTGACTTTTACATTTAATTGGCCCCTGTTAGGCAGGTTAGAAAGGAACAGAGCCATCATTCAAACCCAGATCTGCCTGAGCCTCAAGCTCATATTTTCATTTTTCAGGTACATTTCAGTTATGTTCACTCATAATTTTTCAAAAACATTTCCATTTCATGGAATAAAGTAATACTAGCACTATACTACCACTAAATCTAGAAGATATTTTGGCATTATTTTAAAAATCACCAAGTAAATGTTATAGATGTTGGTTTTTAAATTTTGTATTGGTAGCTTCATTATTAATGGCTGTTCACAAAGATCCAATATAAAGCCCTGAGGACTGCAGTGCAAACTTTTTCCTCCCCTAATTCATTTCAAAGAGGAAAACAAAGAGATGGCATCGATCCAACAATGCCTTCCCTGCCTGTGTCTCTCAGCATCATTCTACCTGTGTAACATGGAGAATGGAAGTGATACGGGCACTGTCTCTCGGTCTGTACATGTGAAAAAGGCTGACATTTTTGTCCAGAAAAGAGGATATTAATGTCATCCCCTGACCTTCCCAGAGGCAGTGGCCGGAAGAGTTGCTGTTTGATTCTCGTCTGTTATGCAAGGGGGCTGGAGTTGTTCTAGCACCCTGTGGGTCCCCAGGGACACTGAGTCTTCACATGACCAGTAGGGGAGAGAGGCTGGCACTTCTATCAGTGGGTACCTGCAGGCAGGACAGTGGTGGGGACCTGAAGTCTTTTCCTGTTGCTTCAAGCTTCGTAGACTTTCTCCCTGGGGTTCTCTGAGTGTGTAGTCCAAACACTCAACAGGCATGGCCCAGTGTTGTGACAAGGACTCACAGCACAGGGAACCCCAGTGTTATTTAAGGCACATCGATGAAAGCCTGTCACAGCCTTCCATTTCTAATGCAGCCCCTGAGCCAAAATTCACAGTCTTACATCACAATTAGATTGCACTTGTTAAACTCATATGGAAGGTCTAAAGGCTTTAACTGAATTAGGGGATAGTCAATTCACCAAACAAAAAGGAAAAAAACTTCCTTTTTACATTTTTTATTTAAAATTTTTTTATGTATATTTATTTTTATTGGAAGAGCACAGGCCCACTCCACAAGAAACTGGATAGTCGGAAGGAATGAACAAATAAGAATCATGTTTATCCTTCTTTCTTTATGACTCCTTCCTCTATTCAGACTTTAGATGTCCCCACAGTGAGACCAATAGGATGTGGATGGTAGCCACTAATGTTTAATGCATGGATTTTACACAGACCAAGTTGTTACCTTGGCCTTTTGAATTTAAAGTTACTTTAAATAGTGAAAATAAAAAGAAAGTGAGGCTGGTGCTATTCTTTTTTAAATTTATTAGGTGAACCAATATTTACTGAGCACATTATCAGGCAAAATGCTTATTGCCCTGAGAATAAGGCATAGTTTTTTCCTTCAAGGTGTCGAAACTTGGGTGGCTGGAAATTGATGTGTAGAGAGGCAATAATTACAAGTGATAAATGCTGTATTCATGATGTGGCAAAACACTAACTGTGATACGGTTATTTTAGAGATTTTAAAAATTATGTTTCAAAAGATTTCTAAGAGTTAATTTGCTTAAACCAGACAAGGTATTCTGTCTAGTTGGTAGAACTTTCTGCATTCATCTTATTTTCTTCTCTGTTCCCTCAGTTTCATAATAGCCATTTAAAACCCATTGTGATAGTCACATGTTCTGTGGGTATTGTTTGAGAACCTTCTAGATCAGTTTTTTCCAAACTGCACATCTAAATTCACTAGTGGGTTATGAATCAATTCAATGAGTCACTTTAATCAATAAAACAGAATAGAGTACACTGTCCATAATAAGGACAAGTCTTGTTTCTTGATAATTTTGTTTCATTGTATATGTATGTGTATATGCTTTGCAAAATTTATTTCTTACTGTGGCTCATCAAAAAGTTTGGAAGCTTCTGTTCTTTATTATAAAGTGATAATATGATTTGTGGTAAATTAAGGTGTCCTGATTGGAAATCAAAAGATCCACATTCTTAACTCTCCTACCCTGAGAACCTAAAAATATCATTTCAACTCTCTGATCACCTACTTCTTCATTTGTAAAACAGGCAAACAGGTATTAACATGCCCCTCTCAGGACAGTCATGAAGATTAAATGTGATCATGAATGCTGGAATGTGACAACCTTTTAATAGATATTTGAGGACCCTAAACAAAGGAGGAGGGAGCATTGCCTGTATCTGACCATGAAGCAATGATCCTGACCTTTTTCATTGTTTTGGAAGCTTCCTATCTCTTCTCCCACCTCTCCCCAACACAGAGATGGCTCACTCCCACCTCTTGTGGAGATTCATGTTCCACTTATGTAAAGAAGATGACAGTGTGCGGTATGCTGCATAGACAAGGCATTCTGTCTTACTATCAGTAGTGAGGAAAAAATATTTGCTGATAATCACTATATTTACATATTTCGTTACAGTTTACCAAATACTTTTAAATGTAGCATTTCGTGTAATCATCCCTCAAATCTTTGGTGTATTCTTATCCCCACTGTGCCAAGAAGCTCATTGAAGTTGTGTTAATCATCCACGGTTGTGTAGCTTGTAATGTGGCAGTGATCAGTTTAACTGAAATAGCAGAGGAAATGTTTGAGGCAAGTTATTTCAACAAATCCATATTTCCTTCTGCCCACAGAGGAGAAAAACGTGGAGAGAAAATAATCAGACATAGCTACAGCTATGTGGCAGGGTGGGAGCAAGGGTGCAGAAAGTTCAGAAAGAAATGGAGAGCAGAGATAGGAACTCCAGGCTGTCTGCCGGAGAACTTCCTTCCCACATAAGGTATCGTCACCCTTAAGGGACCTGTAGCAAGGTAGGTGAGAATGCGAGAAGGGAAATGAAAGACTTCTCTATCCTGGTTCTGGAGGTCAGCCAGCCAACTTCGTCAAGTCCAGTTCTAGCAGAATTTTTTCCTCTGGGATTTCAAGACAGACTGACAGAACTTCCAAGCTCAGAGGAAAAACCCTGGTTGTGTGAGCCAGGACTCTTGACTTTGGGGAGGTGCAATTTCTGTCATGACCACAAGGTGATGCAGTGACCCTAAATACAGCCATTCTAGGAGTTCCTGAGAGAAAATGAATTCTATGGAAGGTGGAAGAGTTAACCATCAATTCCACAAGACCCCTAGAAAAATCAAGACGTGCTGATTAGAAATGATTTCTGAGCCGTTTTCCATGTCAGATCCCTGATTCTGTCAGATTCTGGATTCTGTGCATGCCAAAATTGGCATGGCAGTAAGCAGGTCACTTGGCCTCTCTCTGCATCAGTTTCCTCATCTGTAAAATATGGAAAATGGTGGCACCCCTGTTGTCAGGAATATACGAGAGGCCCTGTGAAGAGCAATAAATGTCAGCTGCTAAATCTTTGGGGGTTTTTGGGTTTTTTTTGCCCCATTTGGCAACTGCCTGAATGGGAAATTTGAGAAGTCTGGGTGTGGAGAGAAGGGAATGTTTGCCTCCACCCTCCACCCTGACCACACTGACCGTGCCAATGCCACAGTGGCTCAGAATGACTCCGGACCTCTCAGCCACCCTGTGCTCATTTGGGCATGCATTGAGAAGCTCCCCTGCAATGCACTGGGTGAGTGTAGCAAAGACAGTAGCAGAAATTCGGGGCATACAAGGAAATCTGACTCAGGACTCTGCATTTCAGAACATTGGCAGCACCTCAGAGGCA